AGCTTAGTCTTAGTAAAAAAAATTAATAAAAATAAATCAAGAGTATCAGATGACTATTGAGTGAATAAAGCTTACTCTTACTAAAGAAACTAATAAAAATAAAAATGAAGTATCAGATAACTATTAAGTAAAGCTTACTCTTTAACTCTAGGCCTTATGCAGCAGTTTATATATGATGTAATAAAATACTATGTCAAACATACTATTATATATAAATATTATATATTTATAAAACAAATTCATAATAATAAATAGTAGATTATGTATATAAAATTACTATATCTTATTATACTTTTAGTAATAGATATATTAGAAAATAGGTAATCAAGATTAGTACAAATTAGTTTTGCAAATAAACTTGACTATATATTACTTTAAAATAATGTGACTTAAACAGAAAAGAATAATGATCATGTCTATCAAGTATATGAAAATTCAGAACAATACATGTAGCTAAATCAAAAAATATATAAAATTTCATAACTAATTAAGTGAAAAAATCAGAGACAAAATTTTGATCATTGGATAAAACAGCAAAATAGGTAATTTACTATGTATTTTTTTAATTTTGAAAAGTATATAAAACTTTAATTATATAATCTAATAGGTATTCAGATTTAAACTGCTTTTTATTCAGTAGCATTTAGCAAAATTCTGTAAGAGAAAATATTTTTTGCAGATGCTGAAATTATATAAAATTTCATATTGTTATATTGTACAACTTTACAGATGTGAAGTTTGCAGATTTTGTATTATTTTTACATTCTTTATTTATTATCTGCCAATAATTTAATCAGAATTTTTTTTACTATAAATTTTTCATCTACATGCTGATCAGTTCATATAGATACATAATACAGATTTTTTATTGACAACTAAATTTTAATTTTAATTATATTAGAACACAAAAAGAAATCTGAAGTCTATTCCAAAATAGACAAACAAAATTTAAAAAGTAAATATTTTTTTAATCATATACTAAATCCCAAACTGAACTGAAAATAAAAAGCTCAAACCTTTAATATAGTTAACATAAAATTTTAGATAATTATACTTCATTAATTAAACCAAAAATGTACTTATCTTTACATTATTATTATTGAAAAAAAAAATTATTTTGAAGCTAAATTGCAACCAAAAAATAAAATATAAAGAGAAGCATTGAAAGATTATATAATATTAAGAACTAAATTAATATTTATTTAATATTAGTCCTATTTTTAAAAATAATATTTATATATATTTCTTTTACAAGAACTATTAAAAAACTAAAAATAACAAAAATAAGCATAATAAGAAATAACAATTGAGTTAATAAAACTGATACAAAGATTAATTAAAGGTTATATATTATCAATAAGCATTTTCTTTGTTTATTAAGAAGTTAAAAAGACAAAGAAAAATAATAAGAAGAAAAAAAAGAGAATTATAATTTATGTTTATTTAGTTACACAATTAGTATTCATATAAAAAGTTGTTATTTACTTTTTAGTTTATTAAAAATGTTATATCTAACTTTTATTTTAATAATAAAAATTTTTATAGATAAAAATAAAAGTATTAAATTTTTATTTGACAATAATATTTTGTATAAATCTATAGAATATAAAATATATAAAGCAAACTTGTTTTAAAATAATAAAAGATTTACTTATATAAATTAAAAGTACAAAAAATTAGTTTTAATATTCAAAAATTTTTTTTTTTTAAAAAAATATATGAAATGCAATCTTACATTGATGTTTGACTATTTTTGGCTATCTAAATGCAATTATTATTTAATTAAAAAGATGACAGCCCATTCTCCAAATACAATAACTAATTATATAAAATTTTATCAAGAATTAATTATTGATATTTTAAAAGATTATAAAGATAAAATTGATAATAAAGAAATTATTGATGAAATTAATAAATCTTTATTTAAAAAAAATATCATTATGATAAATTATTGATGATGTATAGATAATTGGTAATATTGTAAGAACAGAATAAAAATAATGTTTTCTGATAAAGATGCAGAAATGTGATGAAGAAACAAATAAAAATATCTTAAATAAATATATTAAAAAAGAGTCTATTGTTTATACAGATTGTTGAAAAGGTTATCTAAATATCATTAAACTAGGCTTTAAATATAAAACTGTTAATTATTTAAAAAATGTTATAGATTCCAAAACAGATATACATATAAATACTATAAAAGAATTGTTGAATAACATCAAGTTACAAATTGCCTTATAAAATCAAAATAAAGATTTAATTAAATCATAATTATTTAAATTTATTTGATACAAAGTAAACAAAAACAAAATCTAAAATGCATTTATCAAAGCACTACATTTCATAGCATATTATTAATTTGATAATATCATTTTGTAACAATTGTATACATTAATATATGCTAAACTTTAGTTTAACCCAAATATATAAATTGACTATTTATATATTTTTTTTTATTGCTTTTGCTAATGTTTTTAGTTATAAACAACTATTATCTTTATTGTGATTTTAATTATGGTTATATAATTTGTACAAGATAAGTATGCAACTAGTCATATATATAGCTTTTGGCTATCTATTTAAGTAGTCTAGCTGCAGGTTCTATACTAGTTACTATACCTATAATCTACTAGAAGATTACTTAATTAAATACTCTAATCTCTATACTATATTTGACAAATAATCATACAAGTTCCTATATATCTAAGTGCTATCTAATCTAACTCTAATCTTCCAATATGTATATTACTTTATAGCATATCTCTAGTATTTATAATATATTCTTACTTTTAGCATCAGACTTCCAATTCAGATAGCCTAAAAGAACTATAACCTGTCTTTAGTATATTAAGGTTATAACATCCAATATTCTTTTGTTCTAATTTGAAACTTCTAATAGCCTGGTTAGTAGTACTTCTTATTTAAGATTCTTGTTTACTTAATTCCTTTACAGTAATATCTGTTTCTTAGATTTAGTTTTTATAAAGATATTATCAAAGATCATGCTACCTCTTTACTTAGATTTTTCCAAATGAACTTCTTGTTTTCTGATTTTAACAGATTTACATAGTTACAAAAACTTATCTAATATTTATATTACCTAATACTGATTTATATTTTTTTTTGTAACCTATTACACAAATGTTCTATAACCTGCCAGTCATATTGGTGTAACTGTCATTACAGATATCTTAATCTAATCATTAGAAACAGTTACCATAATATGAATATTATATAAGTAATTATTCAAATTTTTACTGTTAATAAGATTTGAACACCCAACCTACTACTTGAGAGGTTAACAACTTAACCACTTTACTATGTTGCCATATTCAAATTGATCAATTACATAAAACTAATTAAAAAAGAATTTAAATTGAAAAGAAAAAAAATTTATTGAAATATAAATATATTTTAAAACTATGCTCACAATATTTTTAAAAAAATAATTAAGAGTCTATAAAGAATTAAATTACTTAAATATAAAATCTAAGTTTTGAAACAGTATTCTAACTACTTTAAGGTTTGTTTTATTTGAAAAATGCCTGGTTTGAACTCTGTTCTACAAGTAGATACTATTTTTATTTTAATTGGATACCTAGAATCTAGAGAATAACTATAACTTAAAACTAATAAAAATATTTTAGTAAGCAAATGATTATAAAATAAAGTTTTATCCTATTAGCAGGTTTTTTTTTTATTCTTCTTATAGATTAAATTTAATTTTCTTTTAATAGTTTTATTTTACTTCTATTTTCATTTTTTCATACTTAATTTTAAATTTTTTTTTTTGTTTTTCTCTTTTATATGAGAAGATGTCTTCAGATTGACAGTGTACCAGAATTACAAAAATCATTATAAATAATATTTACTAATATAATAAAATATAAAGAACATATAATTTCTTTATTAAACCTGCAACAAGAAAGCTATAATTCTGAAGAATACAAAAAACATGATATATCAGAAGAAATGAAGAAATTGTTAAAAAAATACGTGAAACCCAAATTAAAGATAAAACCAACTTAATGACATCTAAAGAAATATATCAACTAGAAAAATTCTACAGAAGAGAAATAATGAAGTTACAGGAATATGAAAAATTCCTCAAGAAAATACAACAAAAATCAAAAAAGACGAAAGAAACTAAGTATCTTAGAATATTTCCCAGAACAGAACGAAACCGATATGTAATTTACTCGGGAAAACACCAACTGTTCATAGACTAAAATTAGCAGCGGTATTACCAAGACTTGAACGACAACAATTAATTACACAATATTAAGAGAACCAACATATAACGGAAACTCATTAATAGAATACGGATATATTAAACTACTGCCATACTTATAACACAATAGAAACATAATTGAACAATACTCCTTATCTATTAACCGGATCACCTAAAGTATAACTGACCCCAGATGTGTAATAGCGCCACAATCACATGATTAATCTGTATATTCGAAATTAAATTATTTCGGATCTTAAAAACTTTAGTGATAACAGAACATTATATAATAATGTATAATAATTATATCTTTTAATAACATTTAAAGTAATCATGGTTTGCTTCACTTAAGATATGTATTAATCATGTGAATAAATTTGCCACAAAATTCTAAACGTTCAAGCGGAGATTGTTTCACATGCCACATTGTTAATCGACTAATACTGTACTAACGTTATTAGTATCGGTGTGAAAATTATAACATGTGCATGATGTTTCACAAATTTTAAAAATTCTGAAGTTCTACAAATTCTGAAATTCTGCAAATTCTGCAATTCCGCAAATTCTGCAATTCTGCAATTCTACCAAAAAATGAAAACCCGATTGATGCTAATTAATACAGTAATAAGTAAAGTAAATTGTTGAGATACAGTATTTACTACGTAAATGTATTTGACTTGGTGTATAAATTTGCCTAATAAAATTTCGAATATAAATTCATCTAGAAGTCGTAAAGTGAACGGTAAAATTTATAAAAACATCAAGGATGAAACAAAATGTATCCACAAGAAACGACAACAAAATTGTGTTTAGACAATATGATTCGCGTAAAATTAAAGAGGCATCATCTCTTAATCTTCAAAAATTATGTAAATCAAAGACCAAGAATTATCAAGAAATTCTAAATGATTTAAACGATTTACTTAAATCCTCGCCTGCGAATATTAAAATTATACTCCCTTCATATGAGTCATCATCTAAGCTCCAAAATAAAATAATCACTTTGTGGAGATGTTTAGCACGTGCTAGGAGGTTAAATAATCGAATTGATACTCTTGTCTATGCCTTTTATTTGGGTCAACTACTGGAAACAGTGACTAAACCAGAAAAGACCATGTGTACTAAACTATTAACTAGATATTTTATTATGGTGTCTATGAGGACATATTATATTTTTGAAAGACTTGGTGTTGAGCAAATTTATAGGACTTCTACCATGAATTTAAGAATGATCTCCAGGTTGGGATCCAGTGAATTTCAAAACTTAGTAAAATTAACCGATTTAATGAAAGATGTATTGGTTAATGTTAATGTTAGTTCACCCCAAGGAACAATTTTGGAAAAATACGGTCACCGTTCGGTTCGACCCAATTCAGCACAGTTTGAAGATATAAGTCAGTATAAATTCTTAATTAACCAAGAAGATTTAAAGAAACTTATATCGATTATACATTCACCAAAAATTGAGTGTCCCCTCTCCTATAAAACATGTGACCAGTAAACTTTCGCATACACAATTAGTATTATTTTTTATATTTAAATGAATCGCTAATATGAATTTTATTTATGTCATTCAATTATTATGTGGCCTTATATTTTATAAATAACATTAACTCGTGAAAGAAATTATTCTCATAAATTAGCAAATTTTAGAATTTTTATATGAATAATGAATCGGTTCAGTATAATAGAATGTACCATAAAAATCGGACATCATAACTCGATTTAGTAGTCAGGGTACTTCTTTACGGAGTACACCATATAGAACCGATTGTTTATTACGTCTACCTATTATAATACATATAGTTGTAAGAGGATATTTCTTAAGATACCCGGGTATAAATCATGGTCAAACCTCTGAAACTGATAAAAGGGTACATCTTACGGGGTACCCATGTCCGATGTTCACAAAATGTTTGGTATAAAATAGTGAACTGCAACGACATTTACAATTAAAATGCATTAAATGTATTCATAATGAGAGACTAGACATACATCTCGAAATTGTGCGAAACAGAAAACTATATGTTTATTTATTAAATATTTGTGAAAATGAAATATTTCTAAAATACCAAAGAATAAGTTTATTACATATGTCATATCTCCTACATAATGATCGTTCAAATGTTTATGCGTCAGAAATTCGAATTATGTACTAAGAAACTAATGAGGTTTCAAAGTTAACGGATTTCAGAATTTTAAAAGATCGAATTTATAATTACGAATGGTCAAATAAGCGAATTGAAATGATAACGTCTGGTAACTCTTATTTCATAAATAAAATTCAAAACTTAAAAATTTTAAATATTTTATTTCAAACTACATCTATTTCATTTAAATGGATTCTTTTAACTTTGAATCCCAATAAGGCCACAAAAATTTAATTTCAAACTTTTAAACAGACCCGGCCGCCGGCATTGTTTTTTTTTAATTTCATATATATAAATTTATAAAATTTTTTTTTTAAAAACCCACCAGATCATTAAAACATATAAAATTTTTTCTACAAGTTTTCAAAATTTGACCCGGTAGGGTTATGAAAACCAATTGATTAATATTGCATGGCCTAAGTAGAATTTATCTCACATTTCTATATTAGTACTACGATATTTATCACATTTATTACTAAGTAGTAGTCTCTAGAATTTGAAAAAAATAGTGTATGAACCACAGAAGATAATCAAGCCTTTTGCTATAACGATAAAATTTTTTAGCTGGATTAATAATTTGCAAAATCTTTTAATTAAAAATTCTTAGCATGTAAAGTTCTTTATTAGTATTACAAAGTAGCTTTTTAAAAAGAAAACTTTTTTACCTTCGAGAGGAAAAATACTCAAAGTGCAAATTTCCCACTATAGGTGCAGATTATCAGAGTGCCTATGTAAAAGTTTCTTAAGATCACGCTTTTTAAATATACCGTTGTATTTCACGAAATCAAAATTTATTTAATGCAATTCGCAATGTTCTATTTTTGTTAACATTAATGTTCGTATGGTAATGTAATAAAAGCCGTGATTAATAACACCATTGTGACTATATATTAAACGAACGATAAAGTATCATCTCTTCCCGCTTCAAGAAGGATGCATTTATTTAACGAGCCTTTATTATTTATATCGGGCATATTATTATAGTGAAATTAACGCGCATTCTATTAGATATATTTTGTCCTTAATAGTTATTATGCCTGTTATTTAGTTAAATGTTTAATGATTTTACAATCTAATAATAAATTTTGGTAGAAACTGATGCTTTGTCTTAGTAAGGAATAAAAATTTGTAAAAATAATAGGCCACAATTTCTAAATTCTGCAAGTTCTACGAATTCTGCAAATTCTGCAAATTCCACAAATTCAATCAGTTCTGAAAATTCTTCCAAATCAAGTTACGAAAAATAAATATAAAAAGTGACAAGTACCTCTTCTTAATTTTTACGTACAAGTTTTTTACCTGTCGTTAAATAATTAATTATTTTTATTATTTAAATTAATTTTTTCCTATAAAGGTAATTCAGTGAATTCAGTGTAGTAGGTTAACCTAAATTTTCAGAATTGCGGTTTATTAACTTTTTTTTTTTTAGATTTTAGTTGACAAAATAATCGACAAAGTACAACGTCTAATCATTACAAAACTTCATTCAAAATGCGAAATTCAGAAAAGAAAAATTATTATAATATTGCTCGTGAAGATTTAGAGAAATTAAGTGGAGACATATCTGTGGAAGAAGATATAAAATTATCTAAAACTCAAAGGAAGATAAAAGTCATATTGCGAAAATTGAAAAGGGCTAGAAAACTTAATCGAATTCATACTCTTGTTTACGCTTTCTATCTTGGTGAAATTCTGGAAAAAGCGTGGGAAAAAAACACATATAAATACAATAAAGATCTGTCAAGATACTATGCTGAAGTGTCTGTGCGAGTATATTACCTTTTTAAGAAGGCTGGAGTTAAACGAATTTATCAAACGACCAAACTGACTTTGGCAACGATCTCCAAACTGAAGGCCGGAGAATTTCAACAACTGGTAAATGACAATGATAACAACGATGATAGTGAAGAGGAATCATCATCTCAGGACAACAATGATGCTGAGGAATTATCACAGAATGATGATACTGAAAATAAGTCATTTCAAAATATTGGCCTCCCACAAACTAGCACTAGCCCCTCTCAAGAAACTCCGCAGCAAGTTAATCCAGTTTTGATTACCATCGATCGACATAACGACTATCAACTTAGCTTTCATCCAAATATTGTCTATCAATCGTTTCAGGGTTACTCTGGCTTTTCTGGCGCCCACGCTACTATTGGTTCCCAACTGCAGAATGGCTTAGAATTCTCCAATATTACTGACGGTTCTCAAGCCTACACTGCCGTTGGTCAATCAACTCAAATTGCCACTAATACTAATACTTTTCAAAATATGACAGTCCCACATTTCCATGGATCATCACTTTAAAATGACTTTCGTTGACGAAGAATAAAGATATTGTATTTCAAAAGATCACACGCGTTAACTGACTAGATGCCACTAGCAGACAGATTATGAGATTACAATTGTATAAGTTTTTTTTAGAAACTTTAACATTGTGATATCCTAATAATAATTATAAAGAACCTCTTCTTGAAAGTATGAGCCCATAATTAAGTCATATATATTGTTCAAATTAAATAGAATACTGTACACAATTAAGTTTTAGTAATACATACACACAGCATAAAGATTATAATCAAGCATATTTTTTTATTTTTCAAACTGTATTTATAATAAAATGATTTTGAATAAAATTTATATCATGTACCATTCTAGATAAAATCCATAATAGATAATTCTACCAAAATACGCGAAAATGATTTCTTTTATGCTTAAATGGGTAAACCAACATATTCATTAAATATGCATAAAAGGTTTATTCCGTGGTTTGTACGAAGAACTTATTTAAAACAGAGTTTCTTAAAATTGTCATGAGTTGTACGAAGACCTGAAAACCAATTTTTTCGTATGAAGAATAAATATAGATTTATTTTTAAAGGTTATTTAAATGATTCAGATTATTCAAAAGATTCAGCCCGAAATACATTTTCCTGTCATTCTGGTATTTCTGTTAATTCTGATATTTCTGTCATTTCTGGCATTTCTGGCATTTCTGCTTACTTTTTTTGGCGTTTCTGCCTACTTTATTTGGCATTTCTGTTATTTCTGGCATTTCTGCTCTTTCCGACGTTTCTACTTTCTCTGTCCTTTCTGAATTTATATTGACTTGTCAAAATCATGTTTAAATTCATATCATATAATCCAAATTATATAAATACCCCATATTCGATTCTAACTATCGATAAATTCGAATATCCTTAATTGATAATTTTCGATAATTTCCTCACTCAGAGCTGAACCGTGTATACTGAATTAATCCCTCTGAAATAGACACAAATTATCTTCGTTTCTATTATCGTAGAGTTTGCCCTTTTGTTTGGTGCATATAAAATAATGCCTCCACAAAGAACACGTACTAATGCGAGCTTAGCATGTATAAATTGCCGATTGAGACATGAAAAATGCGAAAGACCTTCTGGGAAGGACGTTTGTACAAACTGTAGAGAACACAATCGACTCTGTGTTTCTATCCCGGGTAACAAGCGTGGGCCAAAACCACGCAGCCAAAATCCTGGATTTGCACATCTCCAACCTTTTTCAAGTATTAACCTTCATGAAACAACTCAGATCCAGCATTGGGATCAACTTATACCTAGCATTAGAAATAACTCACATCCAGTGTCGAGAGAAGCTTACATGCAGTATCAACTCACACCCAGTATCGAAAACTATTCATACTTGATACCAGGAGTTGACATCCAGTATCAAGAGCAACTTTCATCTGAGACTACTAAATTTCAAAATATATATATTAATCAATCCCCTTTATCATGTTTGCCCTTTTTCATCTATGACGAATCAACGCCAAACGATATGCCAAATGTCACATTAAAATCTGATTCCTTTTCTACTAATTGTGAGGACACTGAAGTATTCCGTTCATTGATCAATTATCCTCAACATCTTTTCTTTCCTACTCTTAAATATTGAACCTTCAACTATTAATCTATCTCATCATTATCTATCCTTTTTTTAACTGCATCCAGCTAAAATACTCGGGCACATGATTATTCGAAACATTCGTCCTATTGCTATACATAATTTTTTTCAATATATTCTCTTTTCGTTGCAATTTTTCTTTTTTAATCACAAACATTTATTGTCGCAAACATTTTTCATCGCAACCATTTTTTCGTAAAACTATTTCTATCTGTTTTTATCATGAACAAAATGGCATTGTGAATATATGCTTTTTTTTTTCATTACGATTTTTGACAAGTATTTCTTTATTACATACCATATTTCTTTTTTTATTGCAAAGAAGCTTCCCGTTATGTCCTTTTTTATGCCATTATATTTTTGTTGCAAACATTTTTTTAACATTCTGTTCTAGTGAAAATATATAACTGAATCTATATAAATTAAAAAAAATTCTCACCATAAGAATAATAAATATCGTAATAAGATATTAAAGAATTTTCATAAACTTACAAATGTATATTCTAGCCTAACGACTAAAATCAGTTACATAATCGAAGTTTAAAACTTTGATTACTACATTCTGATGGTTAATATGTAATAGATATTTCCCATAAATAAGTTCCACAAAATATGATAGACTATCTATGTTGAATTCACGGACTCATGGGATTCAAAAAAAAAAAATTACGAAAATTGTTAATTCAACTAAATCGTAAGGGAGATAATAAATTGTTGCCATATTTCGGGACGCTTCCAAATCTACAGTACAGGACTTTATTATGTTTTCAAGCCTATATTTCTCTTTATATTGCAGAATATTACACTGTGAAAATCATAATAAATATATCTTGCTTCATGAATTTGGAATAATCTTTTGATATGTTAGTTAATCGTAATAATTGACCTTAAATAATGACAAAAGTATTACTAAATATTGGTTTGTAATAATATTTTGAGTTAGATTATATATCCCAAGCCTATTACCCATCTATCTACAGTTCATATTATTTGGGTGCTGCCAAGTGAAACCAGGAATTCTAAAAATAGAATTCTTTAGACAACAGAATAAAGACTTTAATAATACTAATACATGATCAAAAACACAGCGATAATTTATTATTCTAATCAGATTAATTAAAAACACATATTCCGTTATGTAAAAAACTCGATTTTTAGAATTCTTGGTTTTCGTTTGGCGACACCCATTTTTAAACTTATTAGATAAAATCTGTGTAAATATTTTTATATTAGATACGCAAAATTAAACAAAAATCAATTAACTTATTTGTAAATTTTTTTTAGACCTTGTTTGAGAACCGGATAGAGTTTTCAAGAGTGATATTGTTGGTTATGTGCGTGACTGTATATATTTATCTCCATCATAAATAATTTAGTTGCTGTCTAACCAGGTCGCTAAAAACCTACCTGTATTCTTTCTAAACAATCTCTTGAATACTATCCAACTCGTTAAAAGAGGAATTTGTTCTTATACTCTGTAGTTTCAAATTGAAATTATTTAATATGCTATTAATACTCTTATTTTCATTTATCCATTTTTAGCTGCTTTTCAATGATCACTTGATTGGTACCAAGCTTTTGAAGTAATTCGTATATTTTCTATAATTAGAGAATCCTTAAATTTTTAAAATAGTCATCATCTGACGAATACGATTGCGGTCCAGAATAAGAATCTAAACCCTTGGCTTAGACTAAAATTTTCTATTCTTTTAAGGAGTCATATTTATCATTTTATCAAAATTTGTGTTATTCCATAGATTTTAATTTAATTCTTTTTTAGCTGTATTGTATGAAATTTTTAAGTTAAAATATAATCAAAAAAAAACAAGAAAAAAAAATACGACAAAAATTACTCAAACTTACTTTATTTAAAAAGTTAACATAGCAGAGAACGTTGCTTCCAATATTCTATATATTATAAAAGGAATCTATTTGAAATAAAAAAAGAACTTTTCAAATCTGAAGATGCATTCCGTTATTCTCTATATCAAACTAGTTGATCCGATGATCTTACGAATTAACTCTAAAACATTTAAAAAATCTGTAGAGAATTCTAAAGAACATTAGCAAAAATGCAAAATTCAAATACCTAGAAATGCCATACAAGATCGTCAGCTATGACTTAAAAACTAATAATGGGCGAAACTTGTGATCAAAGCAAGTTTTACCGGAATTTAATGCTCTAATTAGTTAAAAATGGCTCGATTTGTGCTATGCTTCTTGTCTATTTTTGGTTCTATTTTATTTCGATTTAGTTGTGATTAGAGGTGGGCAATTAATTCTACATTTGTAGAATTAATTCTAACAAATGTAGAATTGTCGATTGTAGAAATACAATAGAATTGTATAATTAATGATCATATACTAATTTAGTAATTCTAATTCTACACTTGTAGAATTGTAGAATTGTAGAATTGTAGAATTGTGGATCATTAACTGCATTAAAAGTTACATTCTTGATTAGGGGCTTACTCTTTATAGCATAAGTAACGTTTTAACTTTTTTCTTTATCGGTTAATTTTTTAATAGTGAAAATTTATTAAATTTAATTATACACTCTAATAAAACTTAGGCAAAGTAAAAAAAAAGAACGTTATTACTTTAAAGAGCATGTTAAGAGAACTTTAACAAATATAATTTTTTAGCTAATTAATCCGTGATACTCATCACATTTGCTCCTAGTGAACAAACAAGTTAAGTATATGTATTTTTTAATTTCACAAATTTGTTTCTCTTTATTCTTAATTATTCTTAAATTTTATTCTTTTTTTAGATTGGTTATTATCATCTTGATTATTTCTATTTATTTTATTATATTCATCTTCAGAATTTTGTTCTTTGTCACTATTTTCCATATTTAATTTTATATAATTCTTATTTTCAAGTAACAAATTAATTTTGTCATCAACAATAGTCAAAGTAAATAATGTTTTAGATAAATTAGAAGTTAAGATATTATTATGTTTATTAAAAAAGTTTTTTAGATGATTGATCAGTCAAACAATCAATATCATCTGCTATAATGTTAATAATTAAATAAGAGTTTAAAAAAGATATAGAAGAAGAAATTCTTAATATATTAGAATTTAAAGAAATTATTCTTGAATAATCAATATTAGTTACTTTTATTATCATTTTTCTAGAATTTAAAAATTTAAAAAGACTTAATACAAGATAGGTATTTTCTACTTTAATATTAGATTCTAAAAATTTCAAATATTTAAATTTTATAAAATTAGAAGAATAAAAAGTATTTATTTTCATTCTAATATTAAAAGATCTAATAACAAAATTATATTATATATATTTAATACCAAAATGAATGAATTTATTAGTTTGCTTAAGAGAATGATAACAAAAATATAAAACATGCAGTAAGGAATACAAATTAGAATACTAATAAATCCAAATTTATAATTAGAATTTTCATTACTGATATTAGTAGTATATGCAATAGACTTACATTGTTCTAAATTTTTAATAATAAATTTTTTTAAAATAAATATTAAGTTACCAGTAGCAAATAATTATAATAATCTATTTGTAGCAACAAAGCATTTTCACTTAATAGTACAAACAGTTTGTTCAAAAATTTTATATTTAATTAGGCCATATAAGTATAAGCTATTATTTTTTATAATAGTAATAATAACAAATAAAGTAATATAAGATAGCATTTTTTTTTTGTTCAGGAATTATCTAGATTATTATAATCAAAAAACAGTTGATCATAACTTAATTTATAAAAAAAATAATTATATAAATATTATAAATTATACAATTATTAGTATAATATAAAACTACTATTTATGAATGGCAATTCTAGTATAGTGGTTAGATTGTCATCTTCCAAATGGCAGGTCTAAGGTTCAAATCCCACCTATGATGAAATTTAGAAATTATATCTGCATTATAGTAACTGTTTTCTGTAAATCAGTTGGCCTCATGTGACTGTTACCCAGATATACTAAGTCAGGTCTCCTCAGCATTGAAAGCTTAGGCATCTATGCAAATTGTAATGTTACATGTATATAGAGGAATGTTTACTAGTGTTGCATGAGACTTTGATCAAACTTATGATAAGACCATCAGTCATAAAAGACTAAGAAACTGAGGTGATGGAAACCCACTTGGAAATTTCTAAGTAAAAAGATAGCATAAACTTTTGACAGTATTATCGAACTGGTTGAAGTTTATGAAACACCTTTATAGGAACTGAAAATTAAAACTGGATGTCAAATATATGTAGAGGAGCATATAACCAACCAGGCCACTAGATTTGTCAGAGAAAAAGAATACATAAGTATACTATACCAGACTATCTGAATTGGTAGTCTGAAATAAGACTGACAGTTTCAAGTTGTTGCTAGTAAGAGATGATGAAAAAGATGCTAGAAAGATAGGTGCTAGGGTTCTAGTAAATTTTCAAGAGTAGAAATAGTGTAATATAGCAATTAAACAGGTAATCTCTATGACTACAAGTGTTAAGTAACTATAGCATGTTGCATAAAACTAAGTCTATATATGTAGGATATAAAGGCTTTAGTAAGTTTTTTATCAAAAATAAAGTAGTCCTAAGAGTAACGATAAGCATTAGGAACATGAATGGGTGTAGCCTTGAGATATTCTTATAATACAAGGAGAATTGCATATGCAAAGGGTTTAAATAGACAAGACCTCTAGTTAGCTTACAGGTATGGCAACTAGTATAGAACTTAAATAACAATATGTAAGCAGACTACTTAAATTAGGCACCAAAAGTGCATGTGTGGCTAGTTATAACCTCCAATGTAAGAAAGCCCCTGGAGGCACTTATTTTTTAACAAAACTTGAATAAAATATAACATCTCCAAGATAGAAACTTTAACTATAAAAACACAATAAAATAAATAAAACTACTATTTATTAATTGGCCTTATGCAATTATTAATTATTTTATTAGTTTAGACTAACAAAAGATCTTAATATTGTTTTTATATTTAAATTCATTATACTTTTACTAATTATAAAGTTAAAATTGCAAAACAATTTAAAATACTGTTATGAAATATTTTTATTTTTTTCTATTATCTATTTATATGTATAAATTAGTATAGCATAGTAATATGGTTCAAAACTCCAACATAAAGTTTATATATATAAATTAGTACAATAAAATAATAGGGTTCAAAACCTCAGTATAAGGTATAAGACTCTGTATTATGTAATTTGTAGATAACATAATGTAGTAATAGGTTCAAAACCTTAGTATCAGGTTCAAAACTCTAATTTAGGATTCCTAATTCCAATTATAGGTTCAAAACCTCAGTAGTGGATTTGAGATTCAATTTTCAAAATTAGTATAAATAGGGTATATGACCAATAAATAAAGATTTATACTGCAAGATTAATAAATATATACATCATAAACTAAGATATTACTAATATATTCAAAGTAATAAGTAATAGTCTTGAATATATAGCCTAGTATTTAACCTTTAACCTATATGTTGTTACTTACAGCTGACAACCTGTTAGTATTAGTCACATGACTCATAATGACTCACCATTAATCTGTCAATCAGGACCTTCTCAAACTAGTCTTGTCAATTAGTTTATAGCCAAGTTGAGGCTATATCTATGCTTGTAGTACTATGCTAAACTGACAACATATAAGAAAGGTTCTCTCCAATTACAACATTTTTGATGCCAATTGTATGGAAGAATACTGAAGTGGATAAACACTGAAAGACTATATGACTAATTGTCAATATTACTATATTTGTACAAGTAGTTTGTATGAAAGAATACTAAAGTGTATAAATGCTAAAAGACTGTGTGACTAATTATCCACAATTAATGTGTACATACAAGTAGTAAAAGTGTTAAAAAAAGAATATAAATAAGCACTATGTATATAAATAGTAATAATAAGACAAAAAGTATAGAAAAATGTAAAAGAACATGCTTAATGAAATACCTTCTAGAAACAGTTACTATGATTTTGGATAGATAAATAGAGAAAATATTCATAAAAGAAGCAGCCCTCTAGCAATGAAAGCTTGTTAGATAATCTGAACTCACCAATAAACCATAAACAGCAACTAACTCTTAACAACAAGTAATGCAACTATTGCAAGTCATAGTGAACATTCTGAAACTGCCTTAAAAAACTTAATCAGAGTTAAGTGAGCAAAACATAGTGAACTATTTAACATTTAATGAAATAAACCAGGATCCAATAGAATGAATTGAGTCAATTACTGGGCATTCTGTGCCAACAACATTCAAGAAGCTAGGCAAATCATAATAACAAGTGCACATCTATCTGATCTTACTGCATTATAATAGAAAAGTTTTAAAAACCAGAAAAAAGATATGATACTGAAGCAATGAAATAATGATAAGACAAAGTTTTATATACCAGCTTTAACAAAACTTTTGTATCCTATCCCTAATTAACCAATAGAACACTAATTATTAACAAGGTGGCAATACATAAGAAAAATAATAAATTAATATATTGCAGATATGTTGATATTGTTTAATCAAGTAATCTGAGCTGAAAACTAGTATTTTGAATTAACCAAGGCACAAATGTTTATTCAGAAACTTCATCCAAACCTGTCATTAGTTGTAGAACTGTTTATGCTAAATACACTTCAAGAAGCTATTAACAGAACACAAACTTGTAAAATAGCTTTTGTAAGAGGAACAGCAATATGTAGGCAAGCATTGTATTAACAATTAGCTTATGCAACTATCTAAACACCCATATTACTACCACATTAACCAATGTATCTCATGAACTAACCAGTTACTCTTGCACAAGCTTTGAATGCTTCAATGGAGCAAGTTATAGTGCTATTACATAAGATGGTTATGGCAGTAAGAAATAATGATAACAACAACAATAACTGATCACATCCTCTATAAATAGAAACTGACCTAATAGAATAAACTAGCCATCAGTATGCTATGCTTGATAGCAGATAGAACACTATGCCCATGAGTACCCAACCAATAATCATGTCAATAGTAATAGGAATGGTAATAACCCTCCAGTTTAGTGACTTTTAAAAACTAAATCAATAAACTAAGCATAATATTTACACTCTTCTAAGAATTAATGAATTATTGGAAGCCTTCATGAACTTGATCTGATATACAACCCTGGACCTAGCCAGTAGATTCTGACAGGTTGAAGTTCATTTATGTGATTGTGAAAAGATGGCCTTTACAACAAAATTTAGACTTTACGAATTTATAATAATGCCTTTTAGCCTAACAAATGCTCCCACCACTTTTTAGCAATTAATAGATTGTGTACTCCAAAAAGAGATTTGAAACTTCATTTTGCCAATATAGATGATATTAATTTCTATTCTTCTAGTTTCAAAAAACACTTGAGTTAGTACCTTAATAATTTACTACTCTTGAGGACATTACAACAAGCCATTCTTATCAATACACTCTATATGATTACTTTAATCTATCTTAAACAAACTACTTTTCTTATACTACTGGTCATTTCATCTCTAACACCAAACTCTGGTTACTTACTGTTCTCAATAACTAAATAATTATTAGCAAGGTCAGAAGACATAATACTCCTATAGGCCTTATCCTCATTACTCACTGTCACTGCTCATATTAGTTCCAGTTTTCAAATCTATATTTTACTTCTCTCTCAACTACTACATTATGTTCTAGATGTTATTTTAATTCTAATACAATTGACAATAAATGCACTATCTTTATTCCTACAAACCTAACTACAAAACAATTTTGCCATATTAATACTAACAAAACTCTTAACTTATATGCCAACTTTTTTGATATTGCATACACTGTAGCTATTCAACATCCTTTACATATTCTACTATTTCCTTCACTAATACTCAACTCACAACAATTACTATACATCTTTCAATCTAATCAACTTACTGATAGCTTACAGTCTATTGCTAATTCCAACTATAATCTAACCACTATTTCATTTTATACTGATGGTTCTGTTATCAAGCTTGGTACCTTCCAATGCTCTATGGTATAGGTTGGATTTAAGTCAATAATTCTGCATCTATTTACTCATTTCAGGCACAAGTTAAACTCTGGCCATGCTTTTTTAAAACTAAAATCCTTGCTATTCTCTTAGCAATTATAATTGTTTCTAAAAATTGTTCTGTTCATATCTTTACAGACTCACAATCTGTTATTTCCAAATATTATAATATCTGCTTATCAGCATCCAAACTCTCACATACTTATACTCTGTACTTTTCTATTTGGCAAACTTTTATTAACTTTATTAATTCATACAACATTCAGCTTACTTTTTACAAAGTTATTGCACACCAAGATGATACATTTAATAATCTTGCTGACCAACTTGCTTGTAGCACCAAATATTATCCTTTTTAATATTTTTAACTAACAACTCTTACAATCCTGCTTATACTTCATTTATTGACCAATTTCATATTGAAATTTCTATTCAATGTTCTATTTATACTATCTGTTAAGCTCATATTATAATATTTTGGACATTCCACACCATTACCAACAATGATTCATCATTGCTTTTAATATTAACTGAAAAGCCATTTGGCTTTACATCAATAATAATCAAAAGGTTTCTAATTTTGTCTACAGTTTTTATTCCTCTATTTTAAAAACCTTTTATGTTAAAATTCTCTTAGATGAACTATCTGTAACTCCTTTTACTCTTCTCTCTGTCATTAATGTAGCCAAACTAGTTCTTTATTATACTAGAATCTATGTTCTTCTATCCAAACAATCTATCACTTAATCTCTAATTCTTTTAAGTGCATCTTAAATGCTACTGCTCTTGACAGGTTCCCCAATCTTGTTTCTAATTTACATTAAAAAATTCTTACACTTAATAGCTTTAAACTGCATAGCTCCTTACATATGCTATCATTTATTTTTACTTTATCTGGTTTAGTTCTTATTGACCTTATTTCTACTATTCATAATACTTCTATTTCATACTGTACAGCTATTTCTCTTTCTATTGAACTTCTCTGCTATTTAAACTAACAAATATACAAACAAATATGGATTCTATATTGCATTTCATGTTCTGCATAGTCTCAAAACACACTTACTACAAATTTAACTTCTAGTTCTTCTTCCAGTTTACCTTCTATCTTAGTACTACAAATTATTACCAAAATTGATCTTTGGACTATCCAATAGATTAAATATCATGCCCCTCTCTCTTATATTATTACTAATACCTAAAACTAGGTGAGCCTTGGCCACTCTTGTAGATTTAGGTCACAGATTATATGTCTGAGTCTTTATTCTTCATATGTAATTTAAAAGCAAGCTTTTCTTTGTAAAAACTTCAATTGAATTTCAATAAAGTTAAAGGCATAGCCTCACTGTTAATATTTTTTTTAAAAAAAAAAACACTTGAGTCATGTAAACATTATTTTTGGTAAACTGTACCAAGCAAATCTGAAGTTAAACTCAGACAAGTGTTATTTTGAACAAGACCAAATAGAGTTTCTGAAGCATATAATTTCTGGCAAAGATATAACTTTAACTATGACAAAAGTAGCTATTATGAGTAAGTTTCTCTGATCCAAAAACCTTTATATATTAGAAGGGTTTCTAGGTTTGGCTAACTTCTTTCATTACTTCATTAAAAATTTCTCGAATATAGCTATGCCCCTCTACAAATTATTAAAAATATATGAAAATTTAATTTGGAAGAAAAAGCAACAAAAAAGAATCATTCAACAAATTGAAAGTAGACTAACTTTGCCTTTATTTTCACTCACCCTCAGGATGACATTGGATTTGTTTTGTACACAGATGCATCACATCTTGCTCTTGGCACTGTTTTATCTCAACCTAATGATAACAGACTTGAAGATGATGTGGAGTATGTCAATTGATCAATATAGCCTAATGAATGAAATTACATAATAACTGAATTAGAGCATACCACTATTATTTAGGCTATAAAGAAGTTTTACCAATACCTTTACAGATCTCAATTTATAATAATGACTGATCATACTGCTTTGACCTATCAAAACAATATGGCTAACTCAACCAATAGTGGCAAGATATATTATAACTCTCTAGAGTTATAAATTTGTAGTGAAGTACTAACCTGAAAGGCAACTAGAAAATGTTGATGGGCTGTTGCAGATAGAGAAATCTAAATAAAAAAATATATACATAAAGCAAAAAATAAAAAAATAAAAAAATAAAAAATAAATAAATATATATATATATAAATAATAATAAGCATAATCTTAGTAATAATATATATGCAGAATTACAGACATAGTTGTTAAGGGTCAGCTACAATGTTTATGCACAGGGTCTGAAGTGCATAAATCAATGGTTTGGTATAAAATACTAACATAACAGACTCAGAATAATGTAATAACTAGAAAAGGTACAAAAACAAATTAAAAGAAACTCAAGTTTATACAAGTACTCTTTAGTTAGCTATTCCAAAGTGAATTGAATCTATTATCCAGAAACTGCTCTTGATTAACTATAAGTAGACCCTTAACCCAAATTCATAATTTAGTTCAGATGACAGTGTCTTGATATACAAAAAAAAAAAAAACTGTTAAGCTAAACAAATTTTTAAGATGGAATCCAAAGATTATACTAAACTAATTTAATATTTGACTAAGTTAAAACTGCCTAGAGAATACTCAATAGAACAAAATAAAGGTTGAGAAATCTGTTCAGAAAATATATTATATAGAAAGAAGTGCTGTACTAAAAGAACCATCAAGAGCCTAATTGACCTTTGAGAGTATTAAAGCACAAAGAAGTAGTGATAGTGCTGAGAGCTTTACATAATAACCATACATCTGGCCATTTAGAAGAGAGAGTCACTATAGAAAAGGCATAAAGGTGGTACTACTGAAGTCAAATAATAGGGATATTAAGAGTTATATATGGAGTTGTGATGCATGGTAATGTTATAAAAAACCAAAAACTCAAGAAGTGCTGCACCCAATACAGGTAACACAACTATTTGACTGAGTAGAAATAGATATACTAGGACCTTTGCCTTTTACAAAAAATGATAACAGGTATCTAGTAGTGTTAATAGAATATTTAACAAAATGGTCTAAGATTCGAGCCTATCTAGCTATATAGCAGAATCCATTGTTACTTTTGTATTAGAAGATATAATTGGTCAGCATGGCTTCTTTTGACAGATTTTGATAAACCAAGAGACCTATTTTAAGAATCAGATTATAGAGAAGACCTGTAATATAGCTGGTATCAAGTACAAATTCTTATTTATATATTAACTACAGACCAATGGTCTTGTTGAACAGTTCAATTAAACTATTTGTAAGGCATTAGCAAAGTATATAAGTTAGTATCAAGAAGACTAGGATGATTATGTAAACTTTGCTCTATTTGCTTAAAGAACTACCAATTATAGTATAACCAAATATAATTCCTTTTATCTAAAATATAGAAAATAGACTGTGTTATTTGTAAAACTGCTACTAGAAACCTGTTCTGTGAATCCTATAGATAATGATTATTATGAGTCAATAATTTTAGCCTAAGTCTTAAGGTTGGTAGATAAACTGTTGGAAGTCTGGATCAAGGCAAATGAGAATATTTACAAGGCCTAGCAAAAGGAAAAGTAAAATTATAACTGGCAGTACCCCTTGCAGAGTTTTAGAATCAGGAACAAAGTGTTAAGGTACTGGGCAAAGCTAAGAAAACAGTTGTGCAGTAAAGTAGAAGAAAAGTGGTCAGAACTGTACTGGGTACATGATGTATTAGGTAATAGTACATATCAATTATGTATAATGAGAAATGATGAAAAAAATAATAAAAGGGTAGTGCACAGTAGTTAATTAAAATTCTATAAAGCACAAAATAATGATAAAATAAGGTAATAGTAAAAATTAAAATAAAATAAAAAAAAATTTTATATATAAATATGAACAAAAAAAAAAATAGAACAATGTTTTGAAACTTTAAGAAATACAATTCAACAACTTGTGAACTAGATGGAGCTTAACAAAAGCTAAAAGTTAAGGAGAGAGAAGTGATTTTTTGATACTGAGATCAAGAGATTCATAAAGGGTTTGGAAGAACAAAAAGAAGGACCAAGACTCAGCAAATCTATGACCATTTGGCTCTGTATTTTCAAGACTTGGATTATCTCATGGGAACCAAACTCACAATGCCTATTAAAGCTGCTAAAAAAACCTAAAATAAAAAACTAAGTAACATGTATAGTGACAACAAAGGCCTGAATCCAAGAACCAATCAATAGCTGAGATATTGGAGACCTACTACAAAATAAAAAGCTTGTTGTTTGAAAAGGAATGGGGTGACAAAGCATAAAAGAAATTGGCCAAGTAACTTCCAGCCTTCAAAGTAGGTTTAGTGTGTAAAATTACAAATAGTATATATGTTGTTTGCTGTGTAGAATGAGTAGTATATGTATTAAGTTCAATATATATTAATTTTAGTACTAAAATAAATGTTGGATGGAGATTTTCTGAGGCAATGTTGGCAAAAGCAGAAAGGTTAAAAGAGGAAAAAATTTAAAAATAGTAGTAAGTTTGCAGAAGCTCACTCTTTGAGCAAAAAAAGGTGTTACAAAACTTTTTGCATTTTCTTTTATTATCTGTTTATATGTATAAATTAGTATAGCATAGTAATAGAGTTTAAAACCCCAGTATAATGTTTATATATATAAGTTAGTACAATGTAGTAATAGAGTTTAAAACTCCAATATAAGGTACAAGACTCTACTTTGTGTAATTCATAGATAGCATAATGTAGTAATAGGGTTTAAAACTCTAGTATTAGGTTGAGATCCTAATCTAGGATTCCTAACTTCAATTACAAATTTAAAATCCTAGCAGAAGGTTTGAGACCCAACCTCTAAAATTAGTATAAATAGGCCATATATCTAATAAATAAAGATTCATTCTGCAAGATTGATAAATATATATAGCATAAACTAAGACCCTACTAGTATATCAAAATTAATAAGTAATAGTCTTGAATAGTATAACCTAGTATTTAACCTTTAATTCTTATATTGTTACCTATAGACTAACAACCTGTTAGTATTAGTCATGTAACTTACAATGACCTATCAGTAATTCAACAATTAGGACCTCTCAGACTAGTCCTGTCAATTAGTTAATAACCAAGTTGAGGCCACATTTATATATATAATACTGTGCTAAACTGGCAATGTATAAGAAAGGCTCTTCCTAACTACAACAATACTAATTTATATTAATCTTTTTTAATAAGTATTCAAATCCTTTTTAATTATAAATTAGGTTATTTAAAGTAGGTTAATTAATATTAATAATCTGCATTTAGATATAAAAAGTAAATAAACAAGATTAATATTATAGTTTTTTTTTATTTTTTTTATTTTTAAGAGTAAGGCCTGGCCTTGGTCTTTATCAAACAATTTGGTATTACATTAATGAAAATGAGTAATATAAATTATTACATGGACCTATAGCTAGGACTAATTTATCCTCAGCCCAAAACTCTACTAGAGTAGGCTGTCAGA